CTAACTCGCCTTTGGCAAGTTCCGCATAGGACTCGGGAATCGTGCAACATGGCGCAACTCCAAGGCCATCTAACTGGTTAACAAGCCGAGTTCCGACCTTTGCCATGTACTGCAGCATGGTGAATTTCTCCAACAAAGACTCATCCTTGAGGATCAGCTCATTGTCCTTATCTCCAAGGATTTCATCCATGTGGTGGGCCTCGCCAGATTCTGCGGCGTCTCCATTCGCAGAGGACTCCTTAGTTTGTTGGAGAAGTCGGATAATCAGCTTTCGATTGATGCGTCGTACCTCTCGTAACAGTGCGATGTAATCTTCACGCGGGAGGGACTCCACAGGCTGCGGTGGCATCGGGTGGTCTGTTGGAGTGCACCCACACTCCATCAGCTGTGACTTCAGGGACTGAATACACGTCTGGTTGTACTTGTGCGCAGCACAGAGCTGAGTGATGCGTCGTTCCTGCTCTGTAATCAGCTCCTCCTGGGTCCTCAACTCAGCCTCCTTTGCAAACACCATCGCAGCCACATCGGGGCGCTCGCGTTTCACCAAAGGGGAAAAGTCTTCCCACCAGTCCGCGTCACGTTCCACGGAATCGATGTGCTTGGCTTCGCTCGAATTCGCTGCAAAAGTCACCGCAAGGGGTCTACCATTTGTCTTATCCTGAGCAGGCGGTGGGAGACCATTAACGGAACATGCTGCCCCATCCCCATTCGAAGACTGAATATGTTCCTGCAGACTGGCCTCCCGGCGACGACTCTCGGAAAGCTGAAGGGTGAGTTTCTTGATGATCACACGGTATGCATTGGCTGGTGAGACCGCTCCTAGTCCCTTCTCGTTCATATTGGCAACATTTGCAATCGTGCTATCGAACAACTGATCCTGACCTATCGTGGCGCCCAGAAGGCCATCACCAAGGGATGTTTGGGTGGAAATAAATTGCTTGGACCAAGTGGAACCGAAACCCTTGGACCGTTCTTTGTAACTTTCAAGTTCATTTCTCAAGGCATCACGCTCACTTACGGCCTCGTCGATGTCCGCCTGCATTCGAAGCCGTAGTGACTCGAGTTCGGAAGCATCGAAACGATCATCCCGATTGCTGCGGTGAGACCGTGGTCCCCTCGCGGATTCCAGTGGCTGGACACCGACCTTTTCAAGTTCTTCGCGAAGCTTTTGATTCTCATCCGACAAGTCTTGAATCTCGCATTTGCAGTCGTCGTACAACAAAGTCATCCGTTCAAGTTGTGTCTGGACATCCACAAGCTTGTTATGTAGACGTTCAACATCTGAAGTG